CTACTCCTTCCGTCCTGACTTATCTGACTACCTAGGTATCTAAAATCAGCCACTTCTCCTAATTTTTCGTCTCCTATCTTTATATTCGCTCTTTTCCTACTTTTTCTTCCCTTGCATACCAGTATTTTAGTTTTGATTGGTATACAAAAATTAGCAGTGGTTCTGACTGAAGGATGTATACCAAGTAGGTAGGTGATAATTTAGTGCCTTTGAGTATGAAATTTCAAATTAATTAAATTAATTAACCTTACTTAAAATAATCACGGTTAAGCATTAAATTAAAATACCAATTAATTTTTAACAAAAATAAGGCAAAATAAAAAAAAAGTGAAATAATTCGACTGTCCTGCAATCGAAAACAACTAATATTTCAAACACCACCGCAATAAATGTAAGTCAAATGCAAGTCTTAATTTATTATTTGTCATTAATCGAAAGCTATTTAATAGAAATTGTAATTTACTTAAATTGACGACAGTACAAAAAATACACACGAACAGGAGGTTGGTTGGTGATACGACTAAAAATTGGATGTCTACATTTATTTCTAATTAGAAATGGTGTTACTCGCTTTCATGCGGAAGTAAAACACAACCTGAGCTGTTCGAAAATAGTTGAATAATATAATCTAACCCGTCGTTTATAAATTTATTATAAACGCGTGTATCAACATGCGCCAGTTAATATCGTTTGATCAAGCTAATTTAATCAATGCCGCAATGCTTTGCTTAACCCCAATAACAGAGTGTGCAATTACATGTCTGTAATTTAATCGATTCACTGACCCAATCATTTCTTATGATTAAACAATTTTATATGAAAAAAAATTATCGCAAGTAATTCCTTTCACTCGTGAAAAATATTGAAGTGCTTCATATTACCAATTATTTATCAATAACAAAAAATTGGAAGTTGCCACTGACAGGTGCGCGCGCTGCTTCCGTTGCTCGCTGAGGGTACAAAACGTAACATCTTTAAATTACATTTATTGAATTTATATTACCTTATTATTTACAGAAAAACTTGGTTGAAGTTTTTTATACGCATTTCCCTATACAACGTCGTATTTTCAAAAGATTATTCGTCCCTTCCTGATTGCATACAATAGAATTATAGAAGTTGTGAAGTTCGACTATAACATAACTTTTCTTCACTTTAACGTTAAAAATCAAATATTTGATTATTGAAAATATGTCGAACAAATAATGAATACTGTTTTATTTCTAACGTTAGAGTGCAGTGTATCAGCCTTGGAGGAGATTGTTGAGAAATAAAAAAAAAAAATTTTTTAAAACCTTGTTTTTCTTGGTCAGGCCGGAAACTTATCAATCCACCCTCGTAAGTACTTTTTGGAGAAAATAAAAAGTACTCATAACATTATTCTTAAAGCTTATTTGACGTCAGATTTATGTGAGATATTCGTTGAAATGTATTTCTGTCTAAAAGAGTAACACCAAGTATTTAATTCTCTGGCCTTTGTTATAAAATTAAAAATGCCTTCTATGACAGCAAACTTTATTCTTACTTCAACTGTTACAACCTACTGCAACTGCTTTGAGTTAATTAATTGTTTGTGTTGCACGTAATTAGACCGTTTAATTTGTAATTAACTTTCTTAACCGAAAGCAGCGCTAAAAACTATATAAATTAACAAGACTACTACAAAAACATAATTTGCTATAATCAATAAATGTGCATATTGTACAATCTTTTGTTAGATTTATATTATTATTTTTATGATACTTAGTACCTATGTTTTTGTCACTAAAATTCTCGACAATAATATCTTGTATTTTAGTAGTTATTTTATAAAAAGGTAATGTTTTCAATTTGATTCAAAATTATTGAAACTACTTTAGTAATTTCCGTTTGAATTTGTTACTGTCGCATCGTCATCACGAAAGTCTCACATGCGATTAACTTGAAGTAAATCTAATTTAATTCTGATCATTGCTTATTCCAACGATAAAGAGAATTATGTATTTTATTTAATCGGAATTTTTATGCTTTTTTAGACTAATAAAAACAAGACGATCTATTGACTAACATCCTATTGACTGCTATTGTCAAATTTTAATCAATTTTTTAAGTAAAGTTTTGAAAACTATCCATCAATAGAAGCCAGAATAAAAAAGAAAACCGAAAACGATGAATGGGCCCGTGTCAATTTCGCCAGACGTGGAGTAGTGATAGGTTTTTAAATGAAAATTATAATTAGTATGTCGTTTTGAAGGTTTCTATGCGTACACTCTCCGTATTTTCACGGATATGCTACCATTTGATCAACAAACGTCTGCAGACCAGCCAAGCATCAATGATTTTTCTTTTATCTGTTAGACTGATACACTCTCATCATCTTCATCAATTTACTGCATTAGATCATCATCATCATCATCATAAGGTCATCAGTCCTAAGACTGGTTAGACACGTACCTCCACTCATTCCTATCCTGAGCTAAAGTTCGCATTTCCCTAAAACTAGAACAGCCCACATCCTTAACTATTTGCGAAGAGTAAATGAATGAAAAGAACTGTTTCTAAATCTTTAATTTATTTAATCAATAGCATTAAGTTGAACACTAAGTATAGTTTAGTTCGTGGGTAGGTACAACTATCAGAGGTTTATCGGAACAAAAATAACAGATAGTTGAAAGATTNTAAATTGAACTACCTTTGCGTTCATAACAGAGAATACCCTTTCTGTAAATGCTGAAGTGGCCGGAACGGACAGCAAAAGTGAAACTACTTTGAATAGATTTGGGAAATCAGGTTGTTCCGTAAATATGCCTTGCCATTTTTCTGTGCAATATTATTGATATAAAAATACTCTAAATTTCGAATAATCGCTTACAAAATTACGATTTTTACTTAAGGCCTTAAATAAAGTATTCTTGCCTACATTATGTGTCTTGTAAAGTATAACGTACACACAGTCGAAATAGAGTACAATACTTTATAATATAGTACGGGTGGCAACCCTAGGTGTAATGTTCAAATAGAGGATAAAAAAATAGCTCACAAGTATACCGTAAGGTATTTTATTGTAAGGTATGTTAATTATTAGAATAGAAAAGGATTAGGAGGGTAGTATCAAAATGGTAGTGAATAAATACGAAACCACAGAGAATTTAAAGAGGCTTGTGTGGAGTTGATCTGTTCTACAATTATGTAGATATTGTAATGTGGAATAGCAAAATAGAGCAGGGAAATTTGTATATATTTGTATAGGATGATAAGTAAATATTTTCCTTTTTTTTTGCATGTTAAACATTACTTTTTGTGGGATAAGTTTATAAAATTGTATTGTATTTAGGGTAAAAATTTTAATTTGCTGAAGCAGGTAGGGATAAGAAGGCACATTGCATGTGATGGTTGTAAATATTTTTTGTAAAAGTGAAAATTTTAAAAACTGACTTAATGTTTAAATAAAGCAAGCATTTTTTCTTCTTCTATCACCCCACTAATAGTAGTTATAAGAAAAATCGATCTTAGAATTCACGTTTATCAATAGTGACGATCTACTAACCGCATACTAATCGCTTTCATAAAAATTTATATCACTGTTGTAGATACTACCAATCGAAGGAAGTTGAAATCGACCCATAGTGCGCTCATTAAGGACAGAAGCGTTTGTAAGTGCATAATACATACATCTACAGGATAATTCTTCCACAAGTTGAAGGTATTCGTGTAATTTACGTAATATAACTAGGAGTTAAATCTTAAAGTTCAAGCGAAGGTGTTGCTAATTAAATTAATCTTACGTGTTGCAGTAAACCGTTACAATTTTTTAAATAAGCACTTGCATATACAAACTATTACATGAAGCTACAACACTTTAACTACCTACGGCGGGTACGAAACTGCGAAATNGAGAATGTTCTAGATTAGATTACTGTTTAGTGTTTACAATTAATTGTTCTAATTTTCGGAAAACGTGAAGATTGAGTCAAGATATATAGGAAGCAATCGAGGTGCGATCTCCAGATTAACGACCATGTGGAATCTCTTAATAATATTCTGTTTTTATAACAAACTAAACTTCCTAAAAAGAAAGTAAAAAACACCTTGCATTTCAATAATACGCTGATGTTGTTTATCCATTACTTATTATGTTTAGGTATTTGATTGTAAAGTGTTTTGTGTTTAGACTTTCAATTTGTTATTATACATTTTTAACTCGTTCATCAATGAAAGTAACTTCATGATTTTTTCTTTACAGCTTTCAAGTCTAATTAGCTACACATTAGGTAGAAAGTACGTGCCCAACTATAATTTTTATCGCTTAATTCACACAAAAGTTACATTACTTACTTTCTTACACAATTCATTTCGTTTGAATAATAACGCTGTAACAATTTGTCTTTTACGACTAATTTAAAGCTCGAATACAACCTGACACTGGCAATGAAATGCCAATGACACTGCCAGCTAAGAACAAGAGAAAATGAACTTTCTGAATGTTACTTACTTTACTATACTCAAGCACTAACTGGTGTTAAACATATGTTTAATGTATAGTAAATAATTGCTACTACTATTACTACTTAGCCACAAACATTGCAAATAATTTGTGTGCACGATTTTTCCATTAAAAAGTCATTTTTCAAATTATTACACAAGTGCATGTGTTTTCTAAAAAGAATTATCAGCGAATTTCATTACAACACATTAATAACATTGTGTCTGTCTGTGGCTTNCCCTTTCCCTAAGCGTGGCACTATAAGGTTCTTTTAACGTGTCGAAGTCTACAGTTATACCGTATGGAATTGCAATTTCGTCTGTACGTGCGTATCTTCGTTATCAATAACATTCAAAACTAGTTAAATTTTCTGTTTTCTGAAAGTATATTAAGAAATTATTGTTTTCGATATAAAAGTAATTTCTATCCTCTGAAAGTAAATTTATAATAAGAAAAATAGAAATATAATTATGTACTCGACTATAAAGAAAACGGTATGCAACACAACTTTCTAATATTCTCTTCCCAATTTCTAATACTACTATGGCCATCTTCACAACATTTTCCGAACATTAGGTGAAAACAAAAACAGAAAAGTTTATGTTGGTACAAGGTAAGTTACTGTCTAATCAATGGTTACTATGCATGTTACTATGGAAATAGTTGGCTAAACTGCTTTTCAACAATCTAGTATCTATGGTGTCTAATCCAACTTCGACAGCGTTAGTTATCAATTTACAAAAAGTCGTTTAAAAAAATTCTGTAATTTTGAGCAATTCACCATAACCATGAGTAATCAACCGTAAGTTACAATTTTATCTACCTTACAGCATTTTTTCACATTCACTTTAATTTGTTATTATTTAAATAGCAAAAGTTTTTTATCTGCCATGTTAGATTCATTCCGGTTTTCAACAAATCGATCTAAGAAATTTCTAGAATAATGCCGTACAGTAATGTTACTGCCATGTAATATGATAGTGTTTTAATTAATTATCATTATCAAACGATTATAAAGTAACCTTGACAAGAAATTTAGATCGTAATTATGTAGACATGAATGTTACAATTAACCTCACTTTTTCAGTGTACTTCCGCCCCCGGTAATGTGGGCTCAAAGATCTGGAAGCGTATTTTTAACTATAAATTTAGAAGACGTTAAAGACCCCGATATTAAGTAAGCAATTGAACCAACTTCCCCCCTCAAATCATTACCTTTGGATATTTTTGTAGAATTGAAAAAGATCAAATATACTTCAAAGGTGTAGGTGGTGTAGAAAAGAAATTATATGAAGTAACCATTCCCTTATACAAAGAAATTGACCCAGAAAAAAGTAAAAGTTTTAATAGAGGTAGATGCATTGAATTTATATTAACAAAAGCCAACACCGAAGAACCTTACTGGCCAACCTCATTATCCAAAACAAAGTAGCTTGTTTTATGAAAAAGCAATCGGTTGGAGGTTATAATTTATTTATTCTGTGCAGAATAAAATTGAAAACATCGCATGTTAATCCACGTGAAAAAGAGACACATGGAATTCTGTTATACATTTAGTAGACGTATGCGCTGCAAAATGGAAAACAGTTGTTTTTTAAACGACGCGTGATCTTAGGAAACTTTATGTAGGTAGGAAGAAAAAAACAACTGAATATTCAACATTACATTTGTGCATATAAAGGTATATCGGTGGAACTACTTTTGAAAAGAACCTTACAAAATTACATTCGTTTGCTTATTTAATTAAATCACCTACCTACTTATCTGCTTGATGTNTTATTTATCAATAACAAAAAATTGGAAGTTGCCACTGACAGGTGCGCGCGCTGCTTCCGTTGCTCGCTGAGGGTACAAAACGTAACATCTTTAAATTACATTTATTGAATTTATATTACCTTATTATTTACAGAAAAACTTGGTTGAAGTTTTTTATACGCATTTCCCTATACAACGTCGTATTTTCAAAAGATTATTCGTCCCTTCCTGATTGCATACAATAGAATTATAGAAGTTGTGAAGTTCGACTATAACATAACTTTTCTTCACTTTAACGTTAAAAATCAAATATTTGATTATTGAAAATATGTCGAACAAATAATGAATACTGTTTTATTTCTAACGTTAGAGTGCAGTATAGAAAATAGTATAGTATAAAAAATTAACCTATTTATAATACTAGCAATGTCTCAGTGAAGTAAATACGGTTGTATTTGTTAGAAATTTGAAACACTCTATATGAACATATAAATGGCAATTTTTCCACAGTGTATATTCATTATCTCCTTGAACACTCATGACTAATAATTAAGAAATTTGTGGACTATTCGTCGAAATTTTTACAACATAAAAAAGTTTTTCGCTTGATAAGTAAGGTAAGAAAATTCTCAATTATTAATACCCAATTTCACTTCACGTTGCCGTTACTATAGATATCCATGTCCCAGACAAAGACGAGTTCACGTAACTAAAAACTTGGTACCTGCTCATTAATTATTTAAATCAGATACTTGAAGAAAGTGTGGACATGATGATAGTGTACTTGTATGTAGAAAGCGTGCATTGTCAACTATCAACTGTTCACATGGACTTTTTCTAATACATTTCCCACTGTATAGAATGCTCAAAATTAATAATTCACCGATGTTGCTGTTTTTTACGGAGAAAGTTATTGCTATTTTACCGTCTTTTTTCCACGATCCACACGCATATGCCGTTGTAACGTACGATTTTACAAAACTGATGAGTGCGTGTTATGTTGTCGACATGGTTATTTATTTAATTACTACAATACATTAACAGCAATTGGCGTATTTCAAAACATTTTCTTTTACTTACAACACGAATTGAATTTTGTTGAAAATTAAAATCGAACATATGTTACAAAAGTGACCTTTTCAAATTGTGTCAACAAAATTCAGTTACAACAAAACAAATTATATATTTTTGTCGCGATGCCTTAAGAAATGTACCGAGCTGCAGTAATAACAATTTGGATGATTATTTTTGGGAATAAACATTGCTGAAAACAAAATAAATAAACAATGTAGATGTATAGATGCCATTAGACAACAAATTATTACTTTGATAGAAATCAATGTTTNTAAGTAAGCAATTGAACCAACTTCCCCCCTCAAATCATTACCTTTGGATATTTTTGTAGAATTGAAAAAGATCAAATATACTTCAAAGGTGTAGGTGGTGTAGAAAAGAAATTATATGAAGTAACCATTCCCTTATACAAAGAAATTGACCCAGAAAAAAGTAAAAGTTTTAATAGAGGTAGATGCATTGAATTTATATTAACAAAAGCCAACACCGAAGAACCTTACTGGCCAACATTAACCAAAGAAAAGAAGAAGTACCATTGGTTAAAGTGTGATTTCAATAAATGGCGCGATGAAGATGACTCAGGTTGGTAACTTATTAATAATTATGAAACATCTTGTGTAATTGCTATACCAAATGCAGGTGATGAGGGAGGTTTTGGAGGTGGAGGCGATTTTGAAGAAATGATGCGACAAATGGGTGGCTTAAATGCAGGTGGTGGTGGTGGAGATAAACCATCCTTTGATGATTTAGATGAAGAACCAGACTCTGATGATGAGCCAATTCCCGATCTTGAGTAGTAAAAATTACCCATCAACTAACACTTTGTATGTTTCAAAGGTTTTTCTCATTTAAATAACTTACGTTTTGTTTATAACCCTTTTTTATATTTGATTTTATTTTCAACAAATATAGTTTTTGATTAGTACTCAATGGAATTTAGAGTGTATCTTGTACACTCTGTAAGCAAATAAATAAATGTCAGCTTTTAAACAAATGGACCCACTAATAAAAGTATTTGTATGGATTAGTTTAATAACATCCAGTTATGTATGTTCCTTAGTTTGTTGTCAGTACTGTTTGATTGGTTGTTATTCATAAAAGAATCGAAATTTCATTCTAGTTTGTATAATACAATTCTCAAAACCACCGAATGTATTCCATTACGTAAAAATACATTTCTTATTTAAAATTTGAACGTTTTCTTTGATATGATAGAAAATAACTTAGGTTACTAATATAAAAATAAAATAAACTTTATTAAACACTAAAATGCTATTACCAAATGTTGTACATTTTAGTATTTAATTAAAAAATAAAATAAAAGTAATCCCAATTCTTGGCAAAATGGTAAAATAGTTTTTGCATTACCTTATGTTGTCTTGTTTGTTAAACTTGAAACATAATTTAGGAATTTCTTTCTTAACCACTGCAAAAAAATCACAACATACATAAGATTAAGAGAGAAAAAAAACGATTGGTGTAAATTTTTTATTACAAATAAATATATTAAAATTGAAATGCCAAAGTTTTAATTATAAAGCGGCAATTTACCTCAGTAACAGTTTAACTTGCACCTTTACTTTCCTGCTGTTCAAATTTTGGATACCGAGCCTCGATGTCATTCCAAGTCACTTTACCAGCTGACAAATTGTGAATAACCATTGGAATATCATCCAGCTATAAGAATAAAAAAATCAATAAAATTTGATTGATGAAGAGCAAATTGTAAAACTAAACATACTTTGATTACACCCAGGATGTAACTCTTTTTATTAAAATAGAACAAGGGAAATAAACTATAAAAAATAAGCCTAGTACCATTTAAGGTAATTCTTACCGGAATTCTCACTTGACCCATCGAGTCCCTTTCCCTAAGCGTGGCACTATAAGGTTCTTTTAACGTGTCGAAGTCTACAGTTATACCGTATGGAATTGCAATTTCGTCTGTACGTGCGTATCTTCGGCCTATTGAACCGGAGCTGTCGTCAACTTTATGTGAAATATCAAGCTTTGTCAACTCAGCAGCTAAAAACAAATAACAACGAAAAGCAATACTTTTGCTGCATCATTTTCTAATTTCTTTAATATCACATCACATAAAGACAAAGTTTACTTACATAATTGTTTAACAAATGGATGAAATTCAGCGTTGGCGCTTAAGGGTAGTACGCTACATTTTAAGGGGGCAATAACAGCTGGTAATGATAAATAAGTTCTCTGTTCATCGTTTTCTCGGACTTTGAAATTATGCTCGAATATTGCGTACATTATACGACCAACACCTATGGCGGAAGTAAACAATTACAAATATTAATTAATTACTATTTAAATGTACCTTAAACTCACCAAAAGACGGTTCAATTACACTAGGGATTATTTCTTCCACGTGCAACGTCTTCTTGCAACGTTTAACTGAAACCATCTCATTGGTTAGCGTGAATTTTTGATTCGCTACGGAAAGATCAAAAGATCTGAAAGAATCGAAATTATTCTAAATCATTTTTAAATTAATTCAAATTGTACCCTTGCTGCTGCAACGAATTTTCCAACTCTCCAAGTTCTTTTTCGTTCAAAGCTGCTAAAGCATCTGTTATCACTTTAGCGTCTTTTTTAAACTTCTTTCCCAAGACACCTTTATTAGGTACAGATTCTACCACGTCCACTATTTTAGGTTCATTCAACTTCTTTTCTGCAGCCAATCTAATGCCTGTTGCTTTTGTATGTTGGGTCAAATCAAAGGCCGACCTGTCAGCACACCCAACACATTCTATCCACCCCTTAAAAATTAAATCTTACTTTTTCATCAATAACACAATAAAAAAATAATACAGACTGCACTCTATATTATTTCCTCCAAAGAAATTGATGTAGATTCAAAACATAAAGGAATAGAAGCGGAAGCGGGGATGAAGAGGGGCAGAGATTAAATTACTACTTGCAACTAATTAGGGGTGTGAGATGTTCTAATTTTGGGTAAATGCGAAGATTAGTTAACGATAGAAAGCGGTGAAGGTGCGTATCCAACTAGTATTTGGACTTTGTAATAATTACTTCAAAAAATATTTACAATAGAAATTGCAAAAGTCAACACTTACATAACTGGTTAATATTTCGGCATCCCAACAGTCTTGGGCGTAATGGGCCATTTCATTTCCCATATGTTGCCTAAATCGAAGACGTGCAGGATCAACGCCGCAATCATGCAAAAACGTCTGAATTCGTACCATAAAATAACCCAACGTTTCATTAGCAACTAAACCCTTAAAAATTACAAATTATAATAAATTTGTTTTAAGGAATCGCGCTACTAGTACAATATTGACACAAAAAAATTGTTTAGTAAAGTAATACCTCAGAGACAGCTTCGCCAATTTTCCGCTTCTCAGCCGATTTACCGTCCATTTGATTGCATGCTGAATAAAGTAGTAATTCTATATCTTTAATATTTTCAAACTTAGGATGACTTTTTTCACTAGGATCACAGAAATGCTCAATTTCCGCCATGGTAAACTCCCTCACTCGTATAAGGCCAGATCTGGGCGAAATTTCGTTTCTAAATGCATTACCTAGCCGAACAAAAGTTATTCCCTATCTTCAGATGCATAAAATTCAATATTTTTTATTACCTATTTGTGCAGCGGCAAAAGGAAGCCGACCCTGATTAAACTCTAAAAGTCTTTTGAAATTTACAAAAATGCCTTGGGCTGTTTCTGGTCTTAAGAATCTGTAAAATTTATTAGCACATAAATTCATAAATCACCAAAACAAAATAAATAAACATTAAGAACATCATTAAAGAGCAGGGGTGCTAAACTCCTGAGAAAACAAGCCTGAACTTGAATGCAAAATTTGCACTTTTACTTTACACTATACTAACTTTGCATCATTAAACATAGTACATGATAATTTATTTGCCAAATGATAAAAAAAGGCACATAATTACCCTTTCACTAAACCAGATGGTCCAATTTGAGTTGCAAACATGAGATTAAATTCAATGGGTTCCGTCAATGGATTACCAGTAAGAGGACTTTTCATATCAAACTTTTTCATAACTGCATGCATTTCTTCCTTGTTCATACCATCCAACTAAATTGAAAAAATATACCTATTACAATCAAAGAATATTTAAAATTCACAAATTTCAAACCTTTACAATTATGTCTTTGCATTCTGCTTTAGTTCCTTCAGTTGTTTTTTTATCAGCAGAAATCTTTTCAAGATGTGATTTGATTAAGTGATCTAAGCGAAAGCATTCACCCGTTTTTACATCTTTTGTCATTAAATCAGCAAATCTATCCACATGACCTGAAGCTCTAAAATTTAATGAATTAATGCTGATTAAGATAAACTATAAAAAAATATTACTTCAATACTGGCTCTGGTGTCAAAGCTGAACAATCAACTTCTAACATCTGTTCTTCAAGAACAAAAAACTGCCTCCAATAATGTAACAAATTGGCTTTAAATGCACATCCCATAGGACCAAAATCAAATTGACCAGTAATTCCACCATAAATAGCAAAAGACTGATCATAAAAAAACCTCCTTTTAAGCAGATCTTCCATTTTTGCTCTATCAAAAGTTATGTGAGGAGAAAGACTAAGTTCTTTCTCTTCAAGAAGCTTTTTACGATTATTCAATTCTACTACTGCTTGTTTGACATCAATAGCAGGTGCACCATCTGCTTTTAATTTTCGTACCAAGTCGCCCTTAAAAATTAAAAATGCAATGAATATGAATATTGTAGAAAATAACTAATAGACAATAACATATTTTACTAACCTGTTCTTTAACACTGGCCCTTAAGGGGGCCAAAACCTCTTCGACCTTTGGATCGGTCATTTCTTCCAAGAATATTTTCAATTTAACGTTTCTGTGCTGCTTCTTCGTGCCCCACTTTTGATTTAAAGATGTCGATGTGAATAAACTTTTCACTAAACCAGCAGTTTCACAGACACGTTTAATTGAACAAAACTCACTACTACATACAAATCCTATATGACGAATTTTTGAAGCCAAACACAATAACTTCATTAATCTTATAAGTTAATTTAAAAATATTTAAACTCAAATATTAATTTAAATAAGTTATAACGTTACAGTTCCACATGTATGACGTTAAAATTTAATAGGTTAAGTAGAATTGACATTTGGTAAATATTCTATAGACTATGGAATATACCACAGAGCTATATTTACAGGGTTCAATCAAATTATTTACAACACAGTACAAGGACTTTTCAAAAAGTAATAGCATCACTTTTGTTAAAATTATAATTAATGTTGTTTACCTGCGTAAAAGATANTTTCCCTTGTAAACTATCAGTTATCGCTTCTTACGATTAATCCTTTAATGCACTTTACATAAAACTTTAAGGCCACAATTTCAATTTTCAAATTATCTTGTATAATCATTTATCTTTGTTTGTACTCTTGAATTTTATTTTACCTATTGGTTAAAGTTTTCACTATGCATATACAATTTACGAAGACTTTACTACAAAGCAATCCATTCAAAATTACAATCAGCAAAAGAGAATTAATAATTATTACCCTCAAACGTTTCATGATTAGCGGGTTGTACACGTTTTCTGTCAAAAGTGCAATCTAGTCATGTTATTTAGTGTCAACTTAAGATAGTAATTAAGCGCAATAATAATTTTACATTGTACATTTTCTGCTATATTTATTACAGGAGAAAGTATCGAAGCAAATTCCTATAGGCATTTACGAAAAATACAGTTCAAAGGTTCTCTGTTTTCCACACTAATACGAGTTACATAATAACGTTAACCATCACCGATGGATGTAATAATTTTCTACAAATTAAACAAGTCCATTGCAACACATGTATGCATGTAATTCCTTCAACTGCAATGTGATGACGTTCACTCACACATCCTGCGATAGGTATCTACAGATTACATTAAGCATTTCATAAATATAGAGATGTACAAAGTGATTTTTTAAAAGAATTTAAATATAAAATGCAAATACTTTTTTGATTTGTAATTTCAAATGTAAAATACAAAATAGATGTCCCTTTTGTATTTTAAATACCAATTGCAAAATACGTATTTTCAAAATACTTTTTTCAAATTAACACTTTTTTGTAGTAGGTACCTATAAAGTACCACAAATGACGCGGTAAACGCCATCTGTAATGCAATGCTACATTTTAGGATTACGTATTCGTAACAAGGTTCATTTAAATATAATAAGTGAAGTTTTTCGAATCGTTTTCTAAAAATTTTG